AAAAGAAATGATCCCTATCGTGATCCCATTTTTGTAGTATCGCCTACTACCTTTCATTAAGTATCGTATGACTTGTTGAGAAACTTGAGGCTGAATTGTAGGGCATTTTTCAGTGGCTCCAATTTAAACCAAGGTGCAGCAGTCGTCTTTCAGGTCATTTGGTGAGAGAAAAGTAACTCTTAAAAATATTTTGGAGGAAGAACGGTGAGCATGCTGAGGAAGTTCTAGAAGCGTGTATTCTTGGTGCAAGGCCGGGAGCAAAGCTCGAACAGTATCTGACGCTTGCTTCAAAAAAAGCGTTAAAAACTGACATAGCGCCATTCGTTTCATATGAATTGCACCATTATGAGTAATTTGTAGTTTGGTATATTTATCATCTTTTGATGACACTCTTCTGCTTTGACTGCATGAATGCGATGTTTGGCTCCGTTTTTGCTGAATCCAAGTCCCTAGACGCCGTCACATTAGCTGAGAAAACTGAGATGGGCGTGAGGTATATTAGTTGTTTGAGTTTCTATGGTCAGTTCTTCATTTTTCTAGAATCATGCAATTTTTATTCATTTCTTCACTCCTGTGCCCCTCTCTTCTTTCCTCGACTACTCAAAAATAACCCTCAAACACTGTCCGGGCCTGCCGAGTTCAACAGCAAAAGCGGCTTAAAATTTTACTTACTAACTGCCAGTTTTCAAGTGCAAGAAATTCACCTCACTTTGCAATTAAAAAAACGAATTAAAAGTCGCTGATCTGTGAGCAATATGCACATTCCAAAATGGGTAAGACATGCGGCCATATTATCCGATGCATGCGCCTCACTCCTTCACCATTTGCCCATGCGTGAATACCTGGTCTCTTCTAAAAATTTCCCTCACTCTGCTCTGTCACCTTGTACACCATTACATCTCGATAGAGACTCAAAGCATATCTCGATGGAGACTGCCAAACGGAACAGTCTTTCTGCCATATCCATGCCAGTCACCGTTCGTACCATTATAAGAACAACCGTCGTTTTTGAGAGGTGTTGTAATCTCCCGACAGATATGAGAGATGGTTAGCATGTACTCATGGCTTTCACTGTTGTGCTCAAAGGTGTGGTAATGTCTCCTCGCATATCGAAGAAACGAAAATCGTTCACTCTTTCGTTCGCTCATTCCTTTATTTATTCGTTCATTGGCAAATTTACTTATTCATTTTCTGATTTATTCATCTGTTCATTCACCAATTCCTATATTGGCAGCAACGATTAGACTGATGAGGGATGCATGACGACACGGCAAGCTGATCACCGGCGTAGTTAGGTGTAAATGAAACCGTAAGCCCGATAGCAGCGTTGTGCAATGACATGTGCAACGTCGCCATTGAACGTCATTATGTCGAATTCATAGGCACTCGAGAAATACGACTGTCATTGCATCACGTTAGTACCATATTGCTGTTATTGAGAGCCATTTCTGAGCTTATGCTTTATAACTCCATCTTTGGCACTCCCGTGGAAGATTGCAGCGTATCGTTTGGAAGCCGTCGTCATGAAATGATTTGGAAACATGTTACATATCTTTGATACGTGATCTGACTGTTCAGTTGGCCGGCTTTGACTACGTTAATAGATTTGTTGTCCGTTTTAATTTTATTGATTTGTTGTTTACACGGCTAGCATTTGTCGTTCATTCTTGCTGAAAAATAGGAACCTTAATAATTTTGTTGCACTATAAAACTTAAACTTTCAGCGGTAAATTCTTCGCCAGTTGTTTTCCATAGGGTGGGGGAGGGGGATAGGGAAAACATGTCCCGTGCCATAGTCAGAGACAAGTACAAGAGTATCAAAACGGAACCGAATGGCTAAAGACTCTGGAGTTATCAAACGTCTCTGGTTTTCAATTCTGACTGACGGTAGCATTCTCAAAACGCTCCTGAGAATATCCCTACAGCAATTAGGCGTTCATAGTGGCTCCAGAATCCAATCAAGCGACGCAAACCTTGGATATTAAGGCTATCAATGTCTTATACGGTTTAGTTATGCGACGTACAGATAAAGAGAAGAACGAGTAATGGGTTGATATGCGGACAAAACCGATTAAGACCCCTTTGAGACCTCATAACTTATCGAACATCGGATCATCTTGCAACACAGTTATCCTAGGAATCGGTTCAGGAGACCTCGCAACGTTCGTCTTCTTAACAGTTATGACAAACAATTTTTGGTGCATTCTTCGACAGAAAAACGCTGGCGGTATTCCATACGTGTTCTCACAACCGAAACTCTATGGAGGCTTGTAAAAGAAGAATTTTCTTTAAAACGTAGAACCTGAAAAAAATTTTCTTGGTGTAGTTACTGTAATAAACTGCATTCAGTAGACTGTTTTCAAAGATATTTCAAAGGGCAGTAAATAACCTGTGGCATTAGTTCCGGGACGACTGAACGCCATAAAATTATTAGATTTAAACGTAAAAATATCATTAGAAGGTTCTACTGCTAAGAAGTCGTTCAAATGCACCCGTTGGGCGACGTTCTTCAAAATATCAGGCCAAAATATGGTCTGCTCTATAGAACTGGAAAAGTAATTAAATAATTTCTTCATATCAAACTCATTCGGCATCGATTCAGAAGTTGATGCAGCAAATTATGGACAATAGCTAAATACAACTGAATGATTTTGTGCCAAGAACCGAAGATCTATGGAAGTTGAGTACAACATAGAAACAGAGGACGGTATGCCAGAGTCGAAACTTGATATTTGACACTTTTGCAGTCAGATTAGCAAAGAAGACTCTTAACGCAGAAACTGACAGAAACAGCCTATTTTGTCACCGTTGGAAAACAGATTCAAGCGAAGGAATAGTGACGTAGAGAGATTCATAGAGAGAAACAACAATGGTAAGACAAAATGGTCTTGAAATTGATTGAAGCACCTCGTATCGACAAAGTGCTATACAACAAGTCAAGCCGATGTTATCCATAAGTTTTGAAAAAACCGGTGATGCAGTTATTTGATGAGGGCTGTGAAGACTACGTCATTAGCCTCAATTCATACCTCTGTCCGCTACAGCTTCTTCGTAGCCTCGCACCCGTTTTGCATGTGGACGTCACACTGCTGTTGCGCGCGTTGCCAGCGTTTCTTCCTTGGAAGAAGATGCCGGCAACGCTTTCTACATGGGAGACCAGTTTTGCCATCACCTCGACAATTGCATTGTGAATTAAAAAGTTGAATAATTGCTTTGAAATAGTTGTATAACTTTTTTTCGAAAAAATAATGTGCAGAAAAACATAACACCACCACCTTTCGAACCCAGTTTAACATAATTTGGTTTGATGGTCGTATACAGTTACCGCCATTATCACAGCTGCTGCTGATTTGATTCTATATATGCGTCAGTTCAGCATCGGCTGGTTTTCGAGGAATGTTATTTAACTTGTACCAGTCTGTGCGAAATTTGTTAGTTCGTCTACATAAGCAGTTTCGTTGTCTGGCCATACCAAAGCATGAACAGTCATTGACGTCAATATACAATGGAACGACGACATTGGTAAAAACATGAGCAAAAAATGTTCCACAGGTTGTTTCAGTGATGAATTGCTTATTCGATAAATAGTCGAAGTCAGAACCAAGGGACCCTGAGTTCGAGCTCCAGTAATGGTCGCTCGCCTTTCTACCTTCCGAGGTTGATAAACGTTTATCACTCTGTGATAATATAAAAGGACTCTGCACATTATATAGCCGCTATATAGCCGTTATTGACTTTGCTCTAAACATAAGGAACTCCTGGCTAATGGAATGGAAATGGAGATCAGAACCTTATGAAAAAATGATCACCAAAAATTGCTCCACCATGAAAGAGTAAGGATAGCAGATACCTTGACAGCTGTAAAAAATTTTTTTTACGTCGCTGCGAACTTGAAAATGAGTAAGCTGTTCCTCCGATGTTGCACTTACAGTATTATTGCGAGTTGCT